TTTTTTTTTTTTTCAGTCTTTGAGGATTGAAGTTAAGAAATAGTAGGAAATCCTTAGCCACTATAGGAGGATTTAATAAAATTTATGGAATCATTTATTAAAGGAGATAAATGTAGACAGGGTTCAGTGGAAGGTAAATAAGGAATGTTCTCCAGTTAAGCTTTATGTCGGGGTTGTAAACACGGATGTGCCCGGGGGCTTGGCAGGAGATTTTAAAATACAAACTAGATGATGGAGAATGGTGGGGACAGTGGCAAACTGGAGAGCCCGTCTGCCACGTGAGAGGGAGGCTGCTCCGCTCCAGGTGACAGTGTCATTTGGAAAGGCAGGCCGGTGCTGCTAGAGCTTGCATTCTGTACGACAAGTTGGAAACAAAATCTGAATTTCTTACGTGTCTCTCCCATTTTAGAGGTTAGCAAATTCATTCACATAAAACACTGGGGCCAAATGAAATCCCCATATCAGTGGGCCCCTGGTTTGTGGCCTTTACTTAGATAGTAAGAAGTGGTCTCCACTACCTCTCCCAATAGCCATTAATTCCGATTCCAGGTTCTCTCTCCTGTGTGCACTCAGAGGCGTCATGGTTGTTTCCTGCAGAACAGAAGTGAGAGTTAGACTGAATGATAACCTAATCCCTTTTGGAGATAATGTAGGAGCAGAGAGAGTGGGTCACCCCGATCACTGGGAAACTGGGTCTTGACTTGGTGGTTAGGTGAAGTCTGATCACATAATCCATGTGGTTAGGTATATGGTACAATGATTTGTGAATATGTTTTTGGTGGTCTTTACTTATTCTCTGGGACTAGTCTTTATTTCCAAGAGGATTTGTTATTAGGAGCCATTTGGGAGGTCCCTCGTTAAAGCATGGGCTACTTGACATGGCCAAGATGCTGTGGAACGGTTGCCTCGATGGTTTACCCATCTGGGGAGTGGGGACATGGGGGAGGACTTTTTATTGCTTGGGAGACATGGTCCCTAAGTTTGGGGGGGCCCAGGCCAGTTCCACACTTGGCCACTTTTACCAAGCTCTTGAGCCCAGGTTGCCCCAGGGGTTGAGACCAAAAGAGGCTGGGGCTGTGCCACCATGGAGTATGGCCATCTCTGTTCCCAAAAGCAGGGCTATGCGCTGCCAAATAGCCTCCCAAGTGCATACCCGCTAGCTGCCAGAGGGCACCGCTGCCAGCTAGGCCAGGAGTGGAGCCACCACCTTCACATCCCTGTGCAGGTCAGGACACTCTGGGTTGACATTTCTGCAGTCCTGTCGAGTCTGGATTCTGGCTGGCCCTTTGTTCAGGTCACAGAAAGCTACAAGCGCAGCAGCTTCATCCAGGGTGCAGGACTTGATCGTTGCAGAGCTGAAGGGATTGTCTGAATCATGACTCAGTGTCCCTACAGCTACCTCGTGTCACCAGGAGGGGGGAGGGGACTGCTTGTGCCAGAACCCCCAATGCCCTTGGACTTGCACTTGTACTGGGGCAGCTCCCGATGGCAGTAGAGCTGACTTAGCCTTGCTCAGAGGCTGCCAGGGCCATAATGGGCTTCCCACAACATAATTAGAAACCCAGTAAATCCAACTGGCCTCTGTGCTAATGTATGGGCTTGAACCCAGATGGGCACATCCCTCACCCTGATCTCATCAGGTCTCTAACCAGGACGGTGAGAGTGGCTGGGGTTTATTCAAGGCTCCTGGCTCTGCTGGGAGATAAAAGCCTGCAGACTGTCACCTCCCTCCCTCCTTCTTCCCCTCCCTGATCTCTCTTTCCACCTCTTAGGTACTTTGTGTTGAAGATTTCTGCTGGAATTGAATATCCTGGGGAGATCAGGTGGCCACTAGCCTTCTGCCTCTTCCTGGCTTGGGTGATTGTGTATGCATCCCTGGCAAAAGGAATCAAGACTTCAGGAAAAGTGAGAACTTGTATTTATCTTAAAAAGTCTGGGACTCCCAGGGGTGGTTGTGTTATGGAGCCGCAAAAGAGCCAGGAGACGTGGGGATAAATTCTGACTTTGGCCCTGAGTGGCTCTGGGACCTTGGGCAAGTGACTTCACCCTTGCCTTTAAAATGGGATAAATAGCATGTTTCTTTCAGGGCTGTTTTAAGGATCAAATGAGACAAATACACACAGAGCTCCTGAGTGATGGTGTGGTTGCTGATTAGTTTCCTTCCTCTCCTGTCGGGGGCTGCCACTTTGTTCACCAGATGGGATCTACCTCGCATGATTGAGTCACTCTCCCTAAACTCCAGAATTAGTGCTGCTGGCTTTTTGCTTCTTGGCCTGGCTGCCTGGTCAGTTATTGCTTCTGCTGAGAAGCTGGAAAAAGATCAAAATTGTGAAGTGGATTCCCTCTCCTCACTCCCACCAGCATATTTTGGACTTTTCACGCCCTTTTTGCGACCCTCAGCCCAACACTCTTCCACTCCGCGTGCCCAGAGCACTAAATGGGGACAGTCCTGACGGTGAGATTTTGGTTGAGCGAATCCTTGGCCGCTCTTGCTGATTAGTGGCTTGGCCAGCCCTTTGGAGACATTGGAATTCCCACCCTGAGCTCAGTTCCAAGGCACAGAAGGCAAGGAGTCCAGGAAACCTCAGGACACACTGGACGTTCTTGTAAGGGTCATGTTATTTTCCCTCATTTTCCTACGGCTTTGGGAAGAACCCCATTAAACAGTTAACCAGTCACTCAATGATAACCAACGATACTTAATCATCCTCAGAGTCCATTTGTGTGGCTTGGGATGAAACCCGATGTGTCTTTAAGGCCCAAGGAATGAGAATGTGGTGGTGGGCTCAGACCATAGGTTGTGGAGTTGATTTGGTCTGGGTGTCCCAGCCAGGGCTTACGGTGGTGATATCCAAACAACCCACTTTGGAAGGATCAGGCCTCAAGGGCACATGAGTCTTTGTCACCTCCCACCTCCCAGGCAGGCCTCACACCCCCCACCAGGCACCCAAACTTGGCACCCATCAGTACAGAGGGGAGTCTGTCTTCTTCCTGGGTGCATGGTCGTGCTCATAGGTACCTTTTGATAACACCTCTTTCTGCTGCCCTCCCTGTAATCTGGGACCACAGGAACTTGAACTGTAGACCCCCACAGGATTGTCAGGATTACAGGAGGTAATTGGTACACCTAAAATCACATAAGGTTGGGGGAGAAGCAGACTGGGGGTGAGGAGACCTGGGTTCTAGTCCTTTGGAACTTCTCATGGTGTTTGCTGTATAGGAACATCTCTGCTTGGGCTCTGGCTGAGGTTCTGATTTACTCTTAGCTTTTATTTGTTTTTCTGCTAAAATGAAGAGCAGAAACCTAACTATTGCAGAAGTCCTCAGTTTCCCCATTTTTAGAGTAAAGGCAATCAGGCTGGGTGATGTCTAAGACATCTGTCTGAACACTTGCTAGGTGAGCTGACCTCAGTTTTCCCCTCTGACCTCAGTGTTCCCTTCGGTAAAATGAGAGTTAGGATCAGATGACTCCCAAGGAGCCTGCTGGGTTAGACTAGATTGTTCTTCTAGGGCAGCAGGAAGATGGGGGAAATGTTGACATGACCCTCACAACAATGGCCAGCGTGTCCTGAGGTTCCCGAACTCCTTGCCTTCTGTGGCTTGGAACCAAGCCAAGTGACTGCTTAGCAAGAGAGGCCAAGTATTTTTCAAACCAAATCTCACTGGCAGGATTGTCACTTACAACTCGAGACAGGACAACCTCAGCTTGGTTGAAGTGGCCAGACAGGTCTCTAGCAGACAGTCTCTAGCAGGATAAGCTAGAAGGGGTGACTGCAGGAGAAGAGGTGATGGGTGAGGAGGGAGAACAGTGGCCCTGTTGGTGACCTGGGGAAGGATGGCCTGCTGGCTCTAGAGTCAGATCAGTCTGAGTTCAAATCCTGCCCCTATCGCTTTCTCATTGTGTAATTCTGGACCAACTCTGTGGCCCATGGAACCTCAGTTTCTGCATCTGTAAATTGGGAAAAACAGTACTTACCGCATAGGACGGTTACAAGGATTAAATGAGATCATGTATGTATAATACCTGGTATCTGGTCAGCTCTTCACTAGCATTAGCTTTTCTCACCTTTGTTATTATGAATGACTGATGTCTTGAGGGGCCACTGCAGCACTCTGACATCCTGGTAGCTGTGGTGGGGAAATGGGAAGAGAAAGAGAGCTTTGTGGAACGCTGTGTGCCAGGCACTATGCTAACCTACACACGCATTAGTTCATTCGATCTGCACAACAGCAGATTGAATAAATAAGGACATGTATTCCCATTTTATGTATAGAGAAGGTGAGGCACATCAGGGTAGAGGAAATTGCCTGAGGTCACACAGCTTTTAAGTGGCAGTGGTGGGATTTGAACCTACCTCCGTTTCCCTTTAAAGCCTGGACTCTTTCCACTACACAACATCATTTCCCCAGGAGGGGCAATGTTAGGAAGATATGGGGATGCAGAATCGTGGAGCCATCCGTTTGCACAGAGGGGATAAAAGTCCCCCTGCTGGGGGCCAGGACCCTTGTAGTCCCACCCCATCTCTGCCACCATTAGCTGTCATTGCCAGGAGGGCAAGTCACAGAGGCATCCAGGCCTCAGTTCCCACATCTACAAACTCAAGGGTCAGATTGAATATTCTCCAAGACCCTGTTAGCTTTGTCAGTCCATGACTTTTTAGGACAGTGTTATAGCTAGAATTTAGTCCTTGGTGCTAGATTTTACAGGTTTTCTGGAATGGGAATTTTTGAGGAGCCCTGAGCAGGTAAGCTTTTCTTTTAGATCTGCTAACTTATCATTCTGCTTCATGGAGAACAAGTAAGGATCACTGATCATTTTTTTAAAATGAGGAATGCCACCAGAAATAATGAATCACAATTTATTACCCTGCCCTGGGGTGTGCAGACATTGGTCATGGAGCATCGTTTGGAAGCCAAGGTGAATGCTGACGCTCCTCATTATGACAGGCTCCTTTGTGATTGAAATTCCACGAAGACTGTCATTTCTAAGCAACAGAGATGTCCACCTTCTCCCGCAGCAAGAGGAGCTCAGTTCCTCTTGTTCAGGGCCGTCAGAGACAAGAATGGCCTGCTGCTTCCTAGGAGATCTCCTAGGAATGGGTCTCCCATTGAGGAGCTAGAATTCCAGGGGCAGGGGTGACAGCAGGCAGCCAGAAGGTCAAATGCATCCCATCTGACCTTGGGCCGCTCTGCGTGAGAGTTATGGCAACAACACAAAGTAGCCTAATTAGCTAGCTGGTGGGACCTTACCTGACCACCTGGTTGGGGCTCCTGCTGTGAGGCGGATGCTGCCAGGTGTCTGGGCGGCAGGCTCAGATCAACTAGTCATTGCCACTCCTGCCAAATATAACTCGTTACCGTTGGAGCTTAATTCCTCTGACAATACATCCTGAAAACAAGTGTGTTCTGAGCCCCCTTCCCCCAACACAAGCTGTGCATAAAGCCTCCATGTACACCTGACTCACACTTGGGTTGAAATCCCCAGGATGTATAAACCAAACTGTGGGCCCTTTCAGTTCACCCTGATCACCGTCTCTGCAGTGACGTCATCCTCCCACACACCAGGGCCTGGAGCTGGGTGAGGCCAGCAAGTGCCTAGGGTGGCAAAATTTAAGGTGGCGCTCACTCTCAGGCTCCTGCGTGTGTGGGATTGGCCCCTGAGAGTGAGTGCCTCCTTAAATATTACACCCTTAGTGCTTTCTCTTGCCTCACCTTAGTCCCGGCTCTGCCCCACCCACTTGTGATCTCGTGGCCTTTGAGGGAAGAACAAAGGTTTTGGAATTAGAAAGCTTTAGGTGTGGATCTTGGCTCCAGCTGGGAGACCTTAAGTGAGATATTTAACCCCTTGTGAAGTACTGACTCTGAGTCTCAGTTTCATCTTCTGCAAAATGGGACTACTAACAGCTGATTTGTAGAGGGAACTCCAGAAACAGTCGCGTCTACCCAGTCTCCCGTAGTCAGATGAGAGCAGGTGTCTCAGCTGGGTAGACTGCTGCCAGTCTGGCGGTTTTCTTCTGCCGGCCCCTGCTGTCCAAATCACCTCTTCTCCCCTGCCTCCTTCCATCCTTACTTCCCACTAGCCCCCCGTGGTCAGGAGGTGAAACGGATATTCCTTAGTTGTGGACTGCCCTACTGTCTTGGTGGGGTGGGGAGTTCAGACTGGTCAGGATCATCCCTGCACCCAGCCCCATCCCATAGCCTGGAGGACAGTCCAGCCCTCCTGAGGCAGGCGATTTTCTCCTGAGATGTCAGATACCTTTGGGTTTCACAATGGTCTGTGTGTGGAAGGATTTCGCTTCAGGGGAAAGAGAGAGGCGCATTTGGTGGGGTTGGGAGGAGGTGGGCTGCCCTCCCCCATAGCCCCCTAGTAATCATGTTGTCCAGGCAAGGGCAGCGGGGAGGCTGCAGAGGCCCCCTGGTCAGTGGAGGCAGCAGTGCAGAAAAAGGACACCCGTCCCTGGTCTGTAGCCAGAAGGAAAGAGTTGACCTTGATGCTAGGTTGGGTTTAGAGGAAGCAGTCGCTTCTGCTGTTTCCTTAACCTGCAGCTTTTGGACAGTGGCAGCTCTACCCTTTCAGCTCCTGAGGCCAGAAACATTGGGCTCATCCCTGACTCCTCTCTCTCTTCTCGGTCCACACTGAATCAGCAGGAAATTCTGTAGCTCTTCCAGCAAAATAAAATCTGGTGTCTGAGCATTTCTCCCAGCGGCACTGAAACACCCTGGGTGGAGTCATCACGGTCCCCGGGACAAGGAGTACAGCCCAGCCTCCTAGCTCCTGGCCAGGCATCTACTCTTGTGCCCTGCTGTATACTCGAAGTGTAGCACCTGGATGCTGCTGGAAATGTTAGATCTGTTACCCCTCCATCCAAATCTCTGCAGTAGCTCCCCATTTCCCACAGTAAAGGCCCCACGAAGCTCTACATGACCTGTCCCCACTCCCTACCCCCACCTCTCTGACTTCCTCTCCTACTTGTGCTCTGCCAGCCACACTGGCCTCCTTGCTGTTACTAGAAGTCAGAAACACTCCTTACTGCAGCTGTTCCCTCTGTCTAGAATGCTCTCCCACATATCCATTTGGGTCACTCTCACTTCCTTCAAGTCCTGGCCAACCTCTCAATGAGGCCTTCCCTGCCCATTTCAATATGGCCCTCTTCCCAACCGTCCTCCCCAGCACACCCCGCCCTCCTTCTACCCTGCTCTACTTTCTCTTTTCTCCAGTACACTCACTACCTTGTAACCTGCCACAGATAATATGATTATGACCACTATTGGCTAGGGAGATCCTAGCTAGAATGTAAGCTATTTGAGACCAGGGGTCTTTGCTGGATTTACTGATCTACCCAAATGCTTAATGAAATGGCCCTGAGATAGATTGGGGTGTGTGTGTGTGTGTGTGTGTGTGTGTGTGTATTTAAGTTTATTTATCTTGAGAGAGAGAGAGAAAGCCTGAGCAGAGGAGGGACAGAGAGAGAGGGAGAAAGAGAATCCCAGGGAGCCTCTGCACTGTCAGTGTAAGAACTCACAAACCGTGAGATCATGACCTGAGCGGAAGTCGGCTGCTTAAGAGACTGAGCCATTCAGGCGCCCCAACCGCAAGAGTTATATCTTAATCTCAATCCTAACCCTCCCTTGGGGTGCATGGGTGGCTCAGTCGGTTAAGTGTCCAACTTCAGCTCAGGTCACGATCTCACGGTTAGTGGGTTCGAGCCCCACGTCGGGCTCTGTGCTGACAGCTCAGAGCCTGGAACCTGCTTCGGATTCTGTGTCTGCCTCTCTCTGCCCCTTCCCCACTCACACTCTGTCTCTGTCTCTCGAAAATAAATAAATGTTAAAAAAAAAAAAATCCTAACCTTCCCTCAACCCACCTCTGCAAGTCCCTTAATCAGTCCTCATCCCCTGAAAACCCAGTGCCTGCTGGTCCTGCCATTCTGGAGCCCCCCGCCAGGTCCTGGAGTCTGTGCAGCCAGTGCGTGGTGGTGTCTCTGTTTCTCTCCCAGGGCACAGGGGTCCCAGGTACCCTGGGGGGAGGGCTACAGGTGGGAATGTGGGAATGGGGAGGCTCTGGACCAACAGTGCTTGCCTAGCTGGCTGTATGCACCCACGTCAAGGATCAGAGAGGGTTTGGGGGGAGTCTCATCCTTGTAAGATCTTTTGATGCATTCTGGGGACTCAACTGGCTTGTGAGCAGAGGGTTGTCAGTGTTATTAAATTTAGGATTGGCATAATTCCCGAGTAAGACAGAAGTGGTGCTTCTGTTTCCACTACAACTTTGTGTGAATCATCCCATTGTACTCCTCCAAGAGTCCCATGAGGAATATGCTGACATTATCACCGCTTCACAAGTGTGGGCACTGAGACTCAAAAGGGTTAAGTCATTTTCCTGCTGGCTCAGCTCATAAGTGATGGGGCTGGGGTTTGAACTCGGGTTCGTAGGATGGGATCCCAATCCCAAGCTCTTCCTTTACCCAGATGTTTGATTGACAGATAAGCCCCATCCAAAACCACAGTCCCCATGTTCTGCTGATGTTACTTCTAAATGTTTCTTCACTCTGTCCCTCCCTCTCATCCAGAATGCGGGAGTGTCCTTCGACTGACATTCAAGGCCTCCCATGGTGTGGTCTCCTCCCAGTGCCCCTGTCACTCTTAGCCCCCACTCTGTGCCGTCCTAATAGTGAGTCACTGGACCTTTGCCCTCACACGACTGCCTTCCCACTTTCCCCCTCCACCTTCCACCTCATCTCACCTCCTTAAGTTGTATTTGGCCTCTAGATCTGGCTCAGGTGCCTCTCTGTGAATCTTTTAGTAAACTCCCAGGTTGAGTACAATGCTTCCCCCGGAATTCATAGTGTCCCAGGTGAAATGGTGTGGCCCACTGTGCAGACATTGTCTCTGGGTCTTGCAGGTCCTGAGTTCCTTCATCTTTATGCATCTAACATCTGGCACAGTGCCTGGTTCATAGTAGGCCATCAATAAATACTAGTTGAGCTTCACTGCACTGAATGGCCATCCATTCTAAATCAGGCTATGCTAGTGGCTATGCTAGTTAATCCACAAAGTAATTTTTTTTTTAAAGAAAGGTGTTATTGTGTCCACTTTATAGTTGCAGAAACAGATTCAGAGAGCTTATGAGCTTGTTGAAGGCTACTCAGTGCCAGACGTGTGATTTCATTTGAACCTAAATGTTTCTAAGATCATGCTCTTTTCAGCTGGCCAGGCTGACTCACCTAAGGTGTCTGTATAAACAAGGATGGAAAGGTGAAGCTAAAAGATTCATCTCTAATGGTGGATTTAGTTAGGGTCCTCAAGTAGAGGGTGGGGTTGGAATTAGGGAGGAGGGAGGCTCCTAGCCTTCCTCCCTCGGTAGTTCCTCAGAGAGGTGTCCCCTCAGCAGCTGGGCGGGGTAAGGTCGCCCCAACCTTCCGCACTGCAGCCAACTCACCCACAGCCTTCACTGTCCCTTCACAGACTTTATTTCTGGTCCTTTCTGATCTTGGGTCCTGGTGCCTTCCCTGTGTCCCCAGCCCTGGCAGAGTTTGGGGACAACTACCGTGACGCCCTCACCATCAGGTGCTTGTGTCCAGATGACAGATCACCCTCTACTTCTGTTGATGCCTCTTTGGCATGGACACGTCTTGCAGGCATGCTCATTCTGGTCACTCTTTCGTGTGGTTCTTCCAGGTGGTGTACTTCACGGCCACGTTCCCGTACGTCGTGCTTGTGATCCTCCTCATCCGAGGAGTCACCCTGCCCGGAGCTGGTGCTGGGATTTGGTACTTCATCACACCTAAATGGGAGAAACTCACGGATGCCACGGTGGGCTTATGCTTTCATTCACACCCCAGGGATGAGTCTCGCTCTGGGACAGTTTGACAAAAGGGGTCAGACTTCCTCCCCCAGGGTATCTCGCTGTCCGCGTTTACAAGGTCCTGATAACCTAGGACCATTACGCACTTGGGAAATCTTTAACGAGAAGTGGGCAGCTGGGGGTTTTTTCTGATCCCTGGAGTGGTTGTCCTACGTAGCTGTCCTGTATCTGGGGTTGAAGTGCAGGCGAAAATGAAGAATGCAATGCCCGTAATAGCACTGGGCCACCTCACACGACTCATTGGGTACTAATTATAGTGTGTTGGGAATGGAGATTTGCTGGGTGGAAAATAACAGCACTTAGGCAAACCACAGCAATTATAACTTAAAGGGCTCAGGCACATTTGCAGACTTCTGGCATACCCACATGGAGCCAGCACACATTTGGACTTCCTCTTTGCATATTCTGTACAGGCATATCCTATTCTCACATTCCCAACCCGAAAACCTCCAAATGAGGGGGTGATTGGCTGGTAAGTGAATTTCCTCACCTTGAAGAAAAATCGGCTTATACACAGTATATTAAGAACCTATAGCTCTGATTGGGTTTGGCTGCATGTAACAGAAAACCCCAGGTAATGACAGTGTGAACAAGACAATTTTCCTTCCCTTTGATGCACGGAAGTGGCCCAATGTACATAGTTAAGCACTGGTTGGGTGGCTTCGTAGAGTCCCAGGCTCCTCTCTCTCTGTCCTCATGTGACGCACTTCTGTGTAGTTGCCAGAACCCCTGCCATCATATCCAGCATTCCAGGTAGCACAAAGAGAGTGCGGTAAGAGGTGGAAATAGGTACCCTCCCTCTCTTAAAATAAAGGAGAAACCCCAGAAGTTCCACATGATACTTGTTTTTCACATCATTGGTCAGAAACTAAATCATAGGATAATCTTCTCGTAGCTGCACTTCCCCCTTGATGCAGGGAGGGGGTCCTTTCACTCGATGAATGGCTGTCTTTACATGAGACCACAGCTTTGTTACTCAGGAATGTAGGTGCACACTTGCCAGCACAGGCTTGAACTTTCTCTTTGCACATTATAAGCACAATTTAAACACCGGGTTTAATTTATAAAAATGATGGGAGGTCTATTGTACAAATCACATAAACCTCTAGCTCTGACTCCTGAGTGGCCATCTGGAGTTTTATGGGGACAATTAAGAGAGATCACCAAGAGAACCAAGAGGCGTTGTCAGCCAATTTCGAGGAGGATGTGGCACCATGCAATCCACTGTGCTGAGGCCCAGATGGTTTTACTAAGGCGAGGAGCTGTAGAACTCTAGAGTTTTAATACCAGCTGTAATCTGTAAGGACGTCAGTTTGAGAAGGTATTTCTTTTGTACCCATGACTACATTTGCTGTTCCGGTTATTTATCGAGCACGTATGCAGCTAGAGAGAGGGCTGTCCCCTTCTGTTCACTTCTACGTGGCAGGACGTATAAGCATGACCTGTATGTGTAGTCTGGTTTCCTCTCCTTCGATTAGAATGGAGGTTTAATCTCCCAGGGAATTTACTGCCCCTTTTTGGCTTCCAGCACAAATGATGTATGTTTCTCATTTGTGTTGGTGTGCCTTTCCCCCTGGGGAGATGATGTGGCCCTGACTTTGGGAGACTCCCCTCCCCTCCTCCAGTGACCTTGGATCTTCTCCCCCTTTGCCTCCCAGGTATGGAAGGATGCTGCCACTCAGATTTTCTTCTCTTTGTCTGCTGCTTGGGGAGGCCTGATCACTCTCTCTTCTTACAACAAATTCCACAACAACTGCTACAGGTACGTGGAGGCACTTGATAACCCAGGGGTGGCTGCTGAGTGGGAATAAGGTCTGGGAACAAATCAATGGACTGACTCATCAGACACCTAAGGCCACACCATACCCTCACACGTAACCTGAGGTAGAGCCAGAGGGTTGCTTCCGGCATAGATGGAACCACCTGCTAAGTCCTAGCTGCCAGCTTCTGGTGGCCTGGACCCCAACCTGCAGGGCCGACTCTGACACATGAGCTCAGTGGCTCTTTATGTGATGGGGTTGAGCCTCCCCAGAGGTTGCTGTGCAGCTGGCTGTGTCCCGGGATAGTCATTTGTGAGCTATCTAGTCTATGGATACAGTTGTATGCTGGTCCCTGATGCAGTGTGGTCACTGTCCCTTGGCAAATACATTGCCAGAGACCCCAGTAAGAAAGGCAGCAAGGTACAGGGGAAAGAGAACTCTGTTGATGAGCATGTTAATTCACGGAAATGTTAGTAGATGTGGTGGGCATCTTTTCACAATGTATATGCGCATCAAATCATCAGGTTGTATACTTTAAATATATTACAGATTGTATTTTTCAGTTATACCTCAGTAAAGCTGAAAAAACAATGCAAGATTTGAGTCCCTTTCCAGATCTATTAATCAGAATATTTGGAGGTGGGGTGTGCCCAGGAATCTATATATCCAGAGAGGATCCTCAGGAGATTCTGATACATAGTGACATTGAGAATATTTGGATGGTGTGATGTTAGGGAAGCCCAAAGACCTCCACCCAGGAGAGCCTGGAGAGCTCCTGGAGGAGATGATGTCTGAAAGTTAAATACATCTACGACAAACAATAAGAAAATACAGTCTATTCTATTGTTGAGCTGATCTAAAATATAAAAGAAGGAAGAGAGGAAGGGAGAGAGGAAGGAAAGAAGGCAGAAGAAGGGAGGGAGGGAAGGAAGGAAGAGAGGAAGGGAGGAAGGAAGCAAGCCAGCCAGCGCTAGAGTCAGATGGAATTGGATTTGAGTTATGACTTCATTTACTAACACGTGAGACGTGGGCAAAATACCTCATGTCTCTGAGCCTCTTTTCTCTCATCTATAAAATGCAGATTTTATATATATATATATTATATATAAATGGAGAGGTAAGAGATAATGTATGCAAAGTTTGTAGAACAATATTTCACACATAGTAGGTACTGAATCAATGGAAGCTGCCATTATTATTATTTTCTAATAATGTATGAGATATTTTGTGAATGAAGAGGAGAAGATTATAGTTAAGCTGTGAGCTGAGGTGGTTGGGATGGCTTCATGGAGGTGAGATCTCTACTGGGCCAAATTTCAGCAGGTGCAGGGGAGGTGGGAGTTTATTTCAGGTGGCAGGAACAGCTAGACGTGGGAATGAGACTGAATGTGATGGAGATGTGAGGTGGGAGCAGGTCTGTGGGACTGGAACAGAAGGTGTGTATGCAGGAGGCTAGAAGGAAATGGGCCTGAGCTGGGCGGAGGCCAGGTTGGAGACAGCTTTTGTACTAGCTTGCTAGGGCTTCCATAACAAATACTGCAGAGTGCGTGGCCTGAACAACAGAGATTAATTGTCTCACAGTGCTGGAGACTAGAAGTTCAAGATCGAGGTGTCGGCAGGGTTGATTTCTTCTGAGGCCTCTCTTTGGCCTGTAGATGGCCTTCTACTCCCTGGGTCTTCAAGAGGCCCTCTCTCTGGGTGTGCATCTGTGTCTTAATCTCTTCCTGTTAGGGCACCAGTCATTTTGATTAGGTCTCACCCTAATGACCTCCTTTTAACCGAATTACCTGCGTGAAGACCCTATCTCCAAATATAGTCACATTCTGAGCAGCTGGGGTATTAGAACTTCAAAATATGAATTTGAGGGCACACAATTCAGCCCATAATGGCCGGAATGCCAGCTAAGGTATGTGAACTTCTCTGGTCACGGCTGCTCGTGAACTTATGACCCAAGAATCAGTCTGAACACTGTCCAAGGGGACGCATGGCTCTGTGCTTTGGTAGAAAGGAGGCTCTGTGATGTGGCAGAAAGAACATGGGCTGAGGCAGTAGGTCTGGGTTCAAATCCTGACCCACAATTAATTAGCCTATTTCTTTCCCTGTGCCTCAGTTTCCTTATCAGTAAACTAAGGGGCCAGATAAGGTGGGTTGTTTACTGAACACTTGCTCTGTGCCAGGCTCTGCACTGTGCAGAACATCACATGGTTCTCTCCTCACAACCACCTATGAGAAAGGTGGGGTCATTGCCACCATTTAAAATCACTGTGGAAGGAAATAATTTGCTCAAGGTCACGGGACCAACAGGTGGGAGAATCAGGATTTGAATTCTCTCTGAGGTTCCATCTAGCTTGACCTCTCTTTTGAGTCTGGCCAGGTTGGCTGGACAGGCAGGCTGGGAAACTGCAATTATATTGCCAGTAGAGGGCGCCAGGGTGAAGGCAGAGGGCTGGTCTCCTAGCCTGCCTCAACCCCTGGGCGTTTGTGTGCCCCACCCCAAGGTGTCCTCAAACCCTGGTGGCATTTCATGGTCCCACCGCCTTCTCTTCTCCCATATATGATTCCTGTCCTGGAGTCCTTGAAAGGCTCCATCCCGTCCGCTTCTGCTCTGATGGACAGTCTTGCCTCTGCTACTTTGATGAGGGCAGCCCTGGTTCGAGAGCATGTAGAACTAGAGTCTTGACCCAGAGGCCCTGGAATAGGGCAGTTAGGAGAAATCTTTGGTCAAGACTGGTTGTTCCTTTCCGGCCCACAGTGAAGACATGTTTAGAAATGGGCACGTACACACATACACATGTGCATTCAAACTCAGGGGCACACATTTGTGTGTCCTTCTCCTTGTCCCTTCCTGCTCACAGAGCACACCTAATGGCAAACTCTTGTCTCTTCCCCAGGGACACTCTCATTGTAACCTGCACCAACAGTGCCACGAGCATCTTTGCCGGGTTTGTCATCTTCTCGGTTATTGGCTTCATGGCCAACGAACGCAAGGTCAACATTGAGAACGTGGCGGACCAAGGTACGGTGCGTTTGTCACCCCGCTGGTGCAGGACAGGCTCCAGGCTCACCTCACGAGCTCCTGACCTATGCTCCCCTGGAAAACTGGCCTTCTGGAATAGGAGATGGTGGGACAGCCCAGCACCGCCTTGTGGAGAGACTCAGACAAGCTTGAGTAGGAAGCTCATGCAGGGTCAGAGCTGGCCAGTTCCCAACCAGAGGGGCTGGTAGAGAAGCCCCGTTCCTGCATCCTCTCCTCTCTTTGGTTTTCCCTTTCCTCTCTTAATGCAGCTCCAGCCTGAATAAGTAAGATCTATGCCTGTTATGCCTGTCAGGGGCAGGTGGAGGATTCTTTGGGCAGCGCCCAAAGAGGATTCTCCAGCACCCTGGAGCTGATGTGGACACAGCCCGCTGCACGATGGCATCCCTCGCAGAGGGTCTGTGGCAACCGAGTGCTCATGCCTACTACCCGGAGTACCGACTTCAAAGCAGCTTTTCCTGACAAAGCATTTTCTGTTTGTTAGGTCAGGTGTGCTCTCAGGGCCTTCTGCTTAGTTAGCAATGCAGACCTGCAATTTTTTTTTTTTTTTTTTTTTCCCCAGTGAGTAGAAAGGTTGGATGGTGGTGGTGGGAAGGATGTAGAAAAAAATGTTTACTCTCCATCCAAGTGATCCCCATATTAATGGCTAACATTTATATGGTACTCGTGAGTTTATAGAGAGCTTTCATTTTCATCTCAATCTGTATTTCCAGCACAGCGTTTTTGTAGATAGTGTTTAATATTTTTATTTAACTCTTTGTTTCCTCCCAGCCTTACTCCATAAAGGATCCCGTGATTAAGGGATTTCATTGTGGCTACTGTCTGTCATTTCAGTCATTCTCTAACCAGATGTTCGTGGGATGCCTTGGTGTTGGAACCGCACCGGGACTGTGGGGACAGGACAGGGCTTCCTTGAGGGAGCTCACTGCCATTCCCAGATCATGCTCCAATGCGAGCACTTGAGGGAACTAAGCCCTAGAAATGTCACCTTCTCCTCGGGCTGCTGCTGGGCTCTCTGCTGGCTCCCCAAGGATAATTAATTAGGGCTTCAGTGATGCTGCTGGTGCACAGTGGGCCTCAAAGAGTTAAAGAGCTGGCATACTCCAGGGGGGTAATTACCTCTGCCAGGAGAGAATGTTAACCCCCCAGGGTGTTTGCTTCTTCAGCACTGCATTAAATTAGAGTTGCTGAGTGAATGCTACCCCCCTGCCCTCCTTGAAACCTCTCAAGTCCCCGGGGAGCAGGGAGGGGAGGGAGGGGAGAGAAGGTCTTGTCCTGGGGGGGGGGGTGCCTGTGCACCCCAGCTGTCCTCATTTCCTCTAAGCAGAGCTGGAGCAGGGAGGTTCTGGCTCACTTTTTAGCAGATCTGAAGTGTCTGTGAGTTTTGTGACATTCCTGAGCTCATCGTGAGCCAGTGGCCATGTTGCAGGGTTATGATTCCTGAGATGTGTGGCCACCTTAGCTAACTCTTCTGAGCTCTTTCCTGCCCCAGGAAAAGAATTTGGAGGCACCTGTCGCTAAAACCCAAACAGAATTTTGTTTTTCCTTTATAAAGAAAGACTAAGACAATTGCCCATGTTTCTTTCTGAAAACTTCCCCTTTCCAGAGTTTTTTCACTTCCTCTGATTTAAATGGGGAGAAGAGCACTTCTTACAGGTTCTAATGTGTTAAATCTCTGGTTGTCACTGGCACAGGGACAGAGTGCCTCATTCCGCATGAGGGAGTGGGCACTGGCTCATAAGGCCTCCTCTCAGACCCCCTGGGGTAGCTATCCCTTCATCTGAGTTTACACACATTCTTAAATGTGATTGGCAGGATGTCTGATTTTCTCAGGTATGATGGATGCTATGCAGAATCCAGGAGAGACATCTGGGGTCGGGCCCGCAGTCAATGTCAGCCCCGCCCCCTCCTAGCTGAGCCATGTTGGCATGCAGACATTCGGTACATTTTTGCTGACCCAACACTAGTAACTGTGTTTTGGTCTTTACTTCAAAACAAGTTCTCTTTAGTGACCTAACAATATTCTATTTTGTTTACCACTCCCTTCTTAGGGAGGCATTTTTGTCAAAGTCATCGCTGTACATCTCAGCCATATCAGTTTGGGGGGAGCTGAGAATGGGATTAGTGATGACACCAGCTGTCCTCTGCTTTTACGATGAGCATAGGGAAGGGGGCATGTTCTCAGTCATCTACCCCAGAAAAGCACCTGCCTGGGAAATCAACCTTTAGGGACACCTGCAAACCACCTTCTTTGCTGCCTATGGAGCTGAAACTCATGGTCAGAATCCAACCAGAAGCTCTATCAGCAGCAGAAATGCTCATCTACCCTCAGATAGACTGGGTTAGACCAAAGTAGATGAACACAGATGTGCATATTGGATTTAGAGTTCCCAGATCTAGGTCCCTAATCATTCAGAGACACTGCTGATCAAAATGAATACTCTCAAACAGGACTGACCATCCATCCAACTGTCTGTCTATCACCAGGATGCCAGTCCTTCCTTCCAAAGGCACAGTTCAGGCAGTGTACCCTCTGAGAACTTTTCCATTCATAATAGGCTTCCCAGCAGAGTGGCCGTATCCAGTGTGTTGTGATCGGTTGTATTGCATTGGCCAGAGCCCTGGTTGTGTTTTTAGAGACTCTCTAGGATAAAGCAAGACAGAGACCTCCTGTCCAAGTTGCTGACATGCAGAACCTCTTTGATCCCCTCTCATGGGAAGAGTATTGACGATCTTTGTGTACTGAGTTCTCATTATGTCCAGGCATTGTTCTGAGCCCAGTGTGGGTACTATTATCCACATTGGTAAGGAAACTGACGTCTGTCCAGAGAGAATAAGCCTCATCTAAAGTCCCACAGCTGGCAAGAGGAAGAGCCAGTTTTTCAGTCCACAAGGGAAATGGAGTGTGCCCTCCAGCCACTGGGCTATACTGCCTCCCAGTGGGAGAGGAGAGGAACAGGACTCGGACTCTATGGGACATAAGGGCCTCTTTGGGGAAAACTCTGCTGGGGCTCAGTCAATCCATTTTTCCAGTGGGGGAGAAAAAAAGCCCTGAACTCTACAAAGTAATATAAAAATGTATTTAAAAAAAATCCACTTCCCAGCCACCTTAGATACACTGAGTTTGCTGAAAGTGATGCCTTCACCTGTGTACTTCAGGGAGGCAGATGTAATAGAAGCAGGCCGAATATTTTGAAATCATTTCCTGCCCCCTGAAAAAGCAGTAAAGCCCAAAGGGCCAAATCCTGTTAAAGCAATCAACCAGGTCCTCGTGTCGTGGCCGTTTCAAGACCTTCTTGTCCGCTTTATGGGCCCGGCTGTCGCCAGAGCACTAAACTGGATTCCTTGGTGTTCTGCATTTGAGACCTAATTTGAACTGTAGTTTAATACAGACTTTTATGGTTCACATAGGAAGCCTTCAGAGGCTGGCTGTGCCGTCTGTTCAATAAATGCATAAAGCGGGGGTATCGTAAGCATTCAAGGCTTTATATTTTAAATACCCCAAGGCCCTCGGCAACATTAGGAACTAACAACCTGATAAATTCCAGTTTAAAAAAGTGCTGTTATGCTTGAGTTGTAAAAACTCCAGGTGCTGCAATATCTGATTTCCAAACGTGCGGTGGCTGTGGATTAACCTGGCATTCGCTTGTCTCTGCCATTATCATTTAGTTTTCTATTTACCAGGAAATCTGTAACTGCTGGGTCTTTAGCAATCGTGGGTCACAGTAATCTTCCCAGTGAGGCTGCAAGGCAGGCAGGAATGTCTGGCAGTCTTTGTGAGAGCAGAGAAATGGCAGCTCAGACCTCCTCTGCCAAGGCCATGTGTTGTATTCGCTGAAAACCCTGAATCAGAACCGCTAGTTTCCAAGTTCCTTGTCCACTCATAATCACAGTGAATAATCTGTGGGTTCTGATGATGTGCGAGGCATTGGTCTCAGTGCTGTGCCTGTGCTGTCTCATTTGTTCCTCGTAAACACCCTGTGAGGTATTTTTGTTATTCCCATTTGACAGATGGGCAAAATTAAGGCTTATAGAAATGAAATGGCTTGTCTTGAGTTGCATAGCTGGAGTCCTAGAGTCTGAATTTGGACCTGGATCTGTCTGACCATTAGAGTCCAATTTCCTTTAACCTTTACACTGTGTCTCACAGCTCCCTTTCCCCAACTAATTACCTGTGGATTGATGTAGCCCTGTCTTTACCAAGCCTTTGAAGGCAAGATAATAAGAGCAGTAGATGGATTCATGATTTATGCAAAAGGTTTCTCCTGGAGGAGTGACTAGGAGGAAAGACTGTGAAAGGCAGGAAATGATGTCGTTCTTGGTGTGGTCTAACCTAGTGCTGGGTTTCTCAACCTCAGCGTTATTGACATTTGGGTTGCATAATTCTTTGTCATGGGGACTGTCCTGTGCATTGAGGGATATTTAGCAGCATCCCTGGCCTCTGCCCTCGAGGTGTCAATAATCATCCCCACCCCAGTAGTGAGAGCCAAAATTGTCTCCAGATATTGCCAAACGTCCCCTGGGTCAGGGGTGGGGGCCTAAACTCACCTTTGGTTGAGAATCACTGTTCTACAGGGTAATTATTATATATGCTCCCCCAACTCATCAACACAGAGATGGGGGGTTTTGTGGCATATGTGTGGGATACAGCCTGGCCTTGGAGTCTGAGTTTCTGCTGTGGCACTATTTTTAGCCTCACCTCTGAGTTCACTGAAGTGTGGGCCTGATTCCCTTAGTCCTTCCCTTCAAGGAGTTTGAGGTCTAACTGGGGAAGTGAAAGGAGATGAAGAAAAACAACCAGTGGAAGCAGCATATAATATGTCTGTGGAGAGGCCCCTGTGGGCTTCCTTCCAGGAGGAGGGGGTCTGGAGCTGGGCCTGTGTGCAGTCATCTGTCTTGTTCCTTTTCAGGACCAGGCATCGCATTTGTGGTTTACCCAGAAGCCTTAACCAGGCTGCCCCTCTCTCCGTTCTGGGCCATCATCTTTTTCCTGATGCTCCTCACTCTTGGACTTGACACTATGGTGAGCCGCGTCCCCTTATCAAAGGAAGAGCCTGCCCGAGGCCCTTCCTGAAGACCCCCTCGCCTGCTTCCTCTGTGCAGCCTGTGGCCAGGCTGGCCTTGGTGGTCTCTGAATGTTTCCCCGAGCAATGTAGGATGGTGAGGTACCTGTCCAGGGCTCAGGACAACTTTGTATTCATGGGTGACTCGTGGGGTCGTGCAAAGAAGCCGTTCCCTCTCCTTCCCTCCACTCTCCGTGCAAGTTTTAGCCTGTGGACTTCCATCTTTGGTGTCACTTTGCCAATGCAAATTCTGTGGGGCTGGATAAGGGGGAATAATATGAAGTCGATTTTAGGGAGATTGCCGTGGGGCTGAGACTGCCACAAATCTTGCTGGCAGGGGCTCAGACTTTAGTGGTTGGCGCAAAGAGGGGTTTTCCTCAAGTTGAAGATCAAATTCGAGGTAAACTGGAGGAAAGGAATTTACATCTCATGAATACCAAGTGAAGCTTCACATGTCCTGACAGATGAGTGTATGCAGTCTCTGGGGGCTGGATATGCAGTTTCTAGAGCTCACATCCTTTTGGACTCCCCTTGCTGGCCTTGTGGGTTGGACCCCAACAAAGCCTTTTAGACCCATCAGGGGAATGCAGTCCTAAGAACCAAACCTCATGCAAATACCTCTTTCCCCGGTGGGAAACACAAAGGACCTTGGGAACCTTTTGGGTTGGGTGGTTTGTCTCAGATGCCTCTCTCCTGGCACCGTTCCAGTTTGCCACCATCGAGACGATCGTGACCTCCATCTCAGATGAGTTCCCCAAGTACCTGCGCACACACAAGCCGGTCTTCACTCTGGGCTGCTGCATTTGTTTCTTCATCATGGGCTTCCCGATGATCACTCAGGTGAGCTGCCTGCTGGCCACAGGCTTGGGGTGGGGCACGTGGGGGCCCGATGGCTATCTGCTCGAGACTCTTAGTAGTAGCCGAGTCACTGCCATTCCAGTGTGGACAGCACCCAGTCATGAGGGATTCTGGCCACAGATAAAAACCCGTCACCTTGGCTACTAGTGTTACTTGTAGCATCTTCATAATTGAGATGTCGCTTCCCTGAGCCAACAAGGCAGGTGTGTCCTACTTTTAAGAAAATAGAATACATGAAAATCCAAATTTACTGACCAGAGAAATTCCCAGTTGGTTACTCCTTACACACGGGAGTCAAACAGCTATTGGATTCCTTCTAGTCCTGCACGTTAGCTCGCTCAGTATACGTATTGCTTTTGCTCTCTCTCTCTCTCTCTCTCTCTGTGACCTTGAGCAAGTCACTACTTTGGGCCTTAGTTTCTTCATGTGTAAAATGATGAATTGGCATAAGATTGTCTCTAAGCCTCATCTGTCATGGAGAGGCATAAAGAGCAAGGTAAAGGTGCAGGGGGATGTGTGAGGAGTGCCCAATGACACCTAAAGGTCATATGAAGGTCAGGGGAGTGCAGATTTAGGGGTAGAGCTGTCTATTGCTTAAGGCAAAAATGAAACCATCTGCCTGCTTTCACATATACGTCTTCAGATGTTGACCTTTGCCTTTTAAGAGTGAGATGTTAGATCACTTTTCTGTGCTTGTTTTATTGATTGGCTCAGAGTCTCTCGAGGAATTGCTTTGCTCACATGGCAAGGCCCCCAGCCTGCATACTAGACTGGGATTAGGTTACCACTGTGGAGGGGAGGGGAGAGCCTTTGACTCCTGCTTCTATCTGACTCTCCTCCCCACAAGGCAAGGATTGGCCGTTCTAAGTGGGAAGAGCCAGGATCCAAGCCCGCTGGTGTTGATCGTTTTCTTTTACCTACCAGGGTGGAATTTACATGTTTCAGCTTGTGGACACGTATGCCGCGTCCTACGCCCTCGTCATCATTGCCATTTTTGAGCTTGTGGGGATCTCCTACGTGTACGGTAAGGAGATCGCCATGCTGACTGCCAAGGGAGGACTTAGTGTCATAAGGCATCTGTGGCAAGTGGGTTTTCCATATTTAATAAGGTAATGACAGGTTTAATTGCGGCTCTTTGGGAAACATAAGAGGGCTGCACCGTTATTTCCAAATTTGCCTCGGGACCACCGTGATCCGAATGTAACTGAGAAGCAAAAGGTGGCTGATGGTGAAACTCAGAAATCCCGCTTTGTTTCAGAAACTCCTAAGACCATGCCTTTGGGTATGGTCTGACATGTGATGAGTTAGGATCTGTGGACGTGGCCAGATTAGGGAGGAGGAAAGCTGCTTTGCAGGTGTGAAATTATTTCCTGGTCTTGCAATCCTCATCGAGCTTGAGGCAAGAAGTAGCTTCAAGGCTGGGCCTCAGATACCACAATGAGAAAAGAGACCACCAGGCTCGCTGGTCTTAGGAAACTTTATTAACATAATGGAAGTCTGTGATGCAAGAACTCAATCCGAGCTTTTCCCAGGAATGAACTTCCAGTTTCCTTGCAGTTTAGTCTGTCCTATTATCACCATGGCAACCTGCATCCCATAATTAATGGGGGCTATTATCAAGAACAATAGGAAGGTAGGGCAGCAAATGCCATCTTTGCCTTTTGTGTGGAGGTGCTTGTGCTTGGTGGGGGGGTGTCTCACCAGGGGATCTCCTGGCCCCCTTGTGTGCACTGCCAGTCACACAAGCAAGCCCTACTGGGTTCAAGGCACTAATGACTTCTCCGTACCTGGAAGTCTTAGAACCATCCACAGACTAAGGCCTCCCTAACATAGATAAGGTCACCAGAACCAGGAATGTGAACAATGCCAGTAGAGACTATTTGTATATTAAAACCAAAAAGACATAGCAGCATGCTCTAAACTAAAAAGAAATGCAGGGTATCACTTGGAACACATGATACACATAAAGGACAAATGTCTGGAGGAAGAGGGGTCAGGCCAGACAACTCTGCAGAACTCCCCCTTTTAATTAAAGCTGGGGGCCCAGAAAACTTCACTGTACGGCCAGGTATCTATCGTTGGTAGGAGCATCTTGCTTTTAACGCAGTTGTTAACTTCCTGCCCAACAGGTGCTCAACAGCTTCTTGCTCTCCTGAAAACTTCATTAAAATGGAGGGGTGGTGGTGATGATCACGATGTGAAAAGGAAACGTCTTGGGTGCAAAACTTGGGTGCCCCAGAAACAGGAAGATACTACAGTCATTTGGGTGTTGATGGAAGGGACATTGGTCTCAGTCTAGAAATCACATCCCCGTTGCCGGGAGAGTTTAGTTTCTGCTGGCCAGAGACATGGGGCCAGCACTTTGGGCGGAAAAGATAGCCTGGAGTCGGCAGTGAAGGCTGATTGAGGACCTGCCGTTGAGTCAGGGTGAAGTGTCAGAGAGCCTTCTACCTAAGCAGACACTGGCAGGAACCCAGTCAATGTACCACTGTGAATCGTAGCTCTGTGCCCAGACACCAAAGGCTTTGCCACGGAGAGGCAAGAAGAGGCCCAGAGGCCCCCTTTTGGAGACTCAGCCCCTCGTGGTGGTCCGCTGGCAGAGTCAGGACGGAACTTCATTTGCAACCTTGGACCAAGTGCAGAGAGCTGTCTCGACCTCCTCTACTCTGTGTCCTTACTGCCGACTGCCACAAAAGGCACACTTGCACAATTCGATTCTATAAAACAGTGCTTCCCAGTGTGGATTACATATATCATTAAGATAGAGGCCGTTAAAATTTTCTGTTTTTAGAAGTGAAATTGCGCCCCCTCCCCATTATAAATCTGATAGTAGATTTCTTGGTTCGGAAGGAAAAATAAACCCTGAGTGCCTTAGTCCCTGAGCTGTGCTAATTTTTCTGGGACCATCAAGGAAATTATCTGGACTCTAAGACAACTGGCACTCAGCAGCCTCCAGAACCAGGCCGACTCTGTGTTGAGCTCAGGGTGAGCGCAGTAAGTGGGCATGAACCTCTGATTTGGACCTGGATAGAATTTTAAGATTTTTTTTAAGTTTGTTTATTTATTTTGAGTCAGGGAGGGACAGAGGGAGAGGGAGACAGAGAATCCCAAGTTTCTCTGAGGAAGAGAGCAAGTTTTCAGGAGAGTTTTCAGGCTCTGCACTGTCAGCATGGAGCCCGATGCAGGGCTCAAACTCATGTAACTGTGAGATCATGAGATCGTGACTAGAGCTGAAACCAAGAATCAGATACTTTACTGACTGGGCCACCCAGGTGCCCTAGATCTGGATAGAATATTAAGAAGTGAATCTTAGAAGAAAGGAAAAGCCTGAACATGTATATAATTTATACTCCAGAAAGTGGTATGTTCTTTACTCAGATGATGAGGCCAGACTAATGCAAAGTTAGTCTTAGGCCATTTAACATAGACCTGTGAAGAATGAAAATGAACCTGACTGATGTGAGGCTCTCCCTTCCTGACTAAGCAAGTGAATGGCAGAGATTTGTGTTTTCTTTTTGGTTCTAATAGTCTCTAGACTCAAGATTCCAGAGGAGGAAGAGGTCATTTGAACACATAAAATATGGTGGGTGTACTTTGCAAGTTTTATCTTTGGATTTGAGTAGCTGATTCAGGTTCTGCAGTCAGGATTCCTCAAAGGCCAATATCTGGGTTTGAGGGATCCAGGTTGAAAAGTGGAACTCCCTATGTTCTGTGTAGGTGAGATCCCTTTAAGAGATTTTTAAATAAATAGAGTCACTTGGAAAAAATGATTTGTACCTTCCTGGAGCTCATCAGTTCAGGAGACTTCTGTCTGGGGGACCTTGTGCCTGAACTGCTATCACAAAGACCTCCTGTCTGCTATCTGCTAGACTCTACATTGTGTGTTTCCTCTAAGTTGCAACATGTTAAATTATCTTGCTTGTGTTTTCAACTTTGGTCAGTTACTTGTTTCATATCTCAGCCCCCAGACTGTCTTTCTCCACATCCTCATGAGGGATGTTAGATTCACACCAAACAGTGGCTTTTACGTGATGGAATATGTCCTTCTTCAATTCTTGTTACCCATCCTGCAGGCCGAACTCATCGAGGGTTTTCTAGTACAAAACAAAACAACCAAGTCTCTCCAGAACTCTACGCATGCAAGCTTAACTTTGTTCCTCATGACTCCACCTTCTTTAAGAACATTGTTGACTGAAACGTCACTGTCTGCCTCTCATTCAGAGTGCAAATTCCCCCAGCAACATTTGCTGGGGCTCAGTAAACTCACACAGGTAAATGTGTGAGTAAACGAACAGGTATTTATTAGGTGCTTACTGTATGTCCTGTGTGCTCCTAGGAAGGTGGGGAGGGATATTCAGGTGACCTGCCAACTAGCTCCAGGAAGAATAAGGCCACTTCACACTTAACATTGAGAGGAAGGTCAGGACTAAGCCGCACATCCCTGGTCAGGAGCTTTCGCTGCCCAAAGATAAAGGAGGGCCAGAATAGCCAGGAAAAATCTCAAGAAGGTACTGTCTGAGAGAGAAAAAGAGATATAAAAGAAAATAAAGACTGAGATTTAGTGAGTGTTGAGCTTATTGGTAACCAAGGGGAAAAATATGAGCTAACACATAGGGTTTTGGCTTTTAGAGATGGGACCTTCATTATAAAGGAGCAATTTAAGGTACACACAGTGCCAGAGGCCTAACTTGTGGGACCTAGTACAAAGTGAAAATGTGGAACCCCTCATTAAAAATGTACTAAGAATTTCAAGATGGCAACCGAAGACCATTAATCCAGGGGCAGCACCCTTCTGAGTGTGGGGCCCAGTACAAGTGCACAGCTCACATGCCTGGAGGCCAGCTGTGGCTGCACAGGAGGGAGAGCAGCCCCCTGAAGATCATGTTTAGACCAAGGGCAAAGGTATGGTTTATAAAGACAGAAGCCACAAAGCTGCATGGGTGAAAATGATTGGTTGGTTGAAACAAGTTTTTTATTTCTCAGTTTAGGGTTGGTTGGTTATAAGGAGCTTGTGGGAACCAATTTCTGAGCCCCAAATCTGTTTGTTGAGTCTAGAATAGTAGCCATGATTTACCACATTTTTCCTGCTGTTTTCCTGCTAACTCAGTAACAAGCAGTTGCTCAGTTCCCTTTTGGAGCCTATCTTACCCCTCCAGACTCGAGATCATGCAGCAGGCAAGTCCCTATGCATATGCCCCAGGCTCCATGAACAATTCTTTTATCAAGAATTAGGCCTTGGTGACTGGGTGGCTCAGTCGGGTAAGCATCTGATTCTTGGTTTCAGCTCAGGTCATGATCTCAGAGTCTTGAGATCAAGCCCTGCATTGGGCTCTGCACTCACAGTGTGGAGCCTGCTTGGGATTCTCTCTCTCTTTCTTTCTCTGCCCCTCGCATGCACTGTCTCCCTTTCTCTCTCTCTCTCTAAAATAACAAATAAATTTTTAAAAAAGAAGAGTTAGGCCTTGAGGGTGAGGGGGATTTGGGTCAATGGAAAGAACAGAGCAGGAAGAGGAAGCCACATGAACAACGGCCTGAGAGGAAGGTAGCCATTGATACAGTAAGGGACCCAGGTGGGGACTTGGGTGAGTCGGCCATGGGATGGGTATCGCTGGACTGGGTTTAGAGCCAGCAGAGGGTAGAAGGGTTGGAGAGCCTGATCAGGAATGAGTGGGAGGCAGGAGGACGAATGCCTGGTGGCTCTCAGCCCGTTCTCCTGCGCTATACCTGCAGGGCCAGCCCACAAGTTGGCAGAAGGGGCAGAACCATCATGGGACCTGGAGCTAGTGGGAGGCCAAGGCCAGGTGTCCAGAGCCCTCATGTGAGTCCCAGAGGGGGACATGACTTTCCGGACACTGAGCTGGCCCTGGAACCCAAGCCTCCTCCCTCACCATCCCAGCACCATGCTCTCCACCTCAAACTCTGCCTCTTGCTGAATCTGAGCAGCCCCCATCTGCCCCTTCCTACAGTTCTGCGTCTAGCTCCTTTACCCCTCTGAGAAAGCTGGAGTGCTCTTTACCACCATCCCTCTCCTCCTATAGGAGGCCATCTCTGTGTCTTCCTCGTGTCTAACCCTGCGCTCCATCAAATCAGTTTCCCAGTCAAGCTGTACATCATCATCTCTTGGGGATGGTCTATTGGAGAGGAATAATCTGGTAACAGAATTGAAAACAATAGCAGAAACTTCTAGAATCTTCTTTTTTAAACACTCAGGCTTCCTTCAGTGTCTTATGTCTATTTTTCTGGGCCTTAGCTTTGATTTCTATTCCTTTGAGTTTCTCCCCTCACTGCTCGGAGAGGCCACTCATTTGAAGGCATTTGATAACACTAAAGAACATGCACAAATAACAAATCCAAAGAAGGTCAGGTCAGCTGCTCATGGCATGAAGTTCTTGCCTGTGAATATAAGCAACCTGGAGCCTCTTTGTGTCATGGATTGACCTCTCCAGTCCCCCCAGCAAACCAACAAAGGCTCAGAAACAGAATACCTTTCCTGAGATCACACCATGAATTAGAGGCGGAACAGGGGTTCAATTCTTAGATCCTAACTCCCCATCCAGCACTCTTTCCCTTGTACCACATTGTGATTGACCCTGATCAGGGTTTAAGATAGAATAAGAAGCTCAGCTGCCACCTGAGAAACTTTAGAGTGAGTTGAGAACAGCTGTCTTTGGTGAACCTCCCACACCGTTCCCAGAGCAGGCTGCTCTATAGCTAACCTCAGGCTTGGCTGTCCTCCTTCATGGCTGCTGTCAGCAGGGCCTGGTGATTCATGATCATGAGAGCTAGCTGACATTCTGGGTCTGGGCTTGGCATGGAGTAGAAGCAAATAACAGGAGCTGAGGACTATGGAAGGTCTCAGGATCCATTATTTTGAGGATGATGGCTAGAGTGGACTTTTGAGGGTAAACTTTAATATTGAAGTATAACATCGTGTATACAGGAAGGAACACATAACTGAGTATACAGCTGAATGAATTTTTACCCCTAGGTAACCAGCATCCAGATCAAGATATAGAATATTATCAGGGTCATTTTTAAAAAAGGGGTTGAGATGAACTATTTTGTTCCCTGAAGGAATACCAGTGTCTGCTTTCTACCCCAGCAAGAGATTGCTTTTTCATATCACATTATTCTTTCCTGCTGCCATGCAGCACAGAGCAGGCATTGAGGGGACAAGGCTAGAGGATAACTCTGGGCTGAGGTGGGGACAGGGGCACAGGTCAGGTGAAGGCAGCTCGTACAGGTGCTACACAGGGAGGGGATGGCCAAGGGTAAGAGATAGCAAGTGAGGACTGGAAGGGGAGCCCCCAGAAACTGAATCCCCCTGCTCCTCATGGGACTAAGGGCAGAGGACCCAGAAACCTAAGGGGGTTGGGAAAGCCCGGGAACTGGAGGAACAAGTGGCCAATGTCTCAAACAAGAAGGTCTCAAGATGTGCAAGGGATCATTCCTGAAAGGAGGAGGCATAGTGGAAATGGGGGCTTTCCCTGAGGAGTGCCTCTGCTCCTCTTGACCTGCAGGGTACCTACTTTTCACATAAATGACCAGAGGATAAAGCAAGGGGGAGATTTAAGCTGAGGCTCCTGGGCCCCTGGTCAGAACTACTGGCTCACTGAAGCTTGAATTCAGGGAGCTTTCCTGTCCCATCAGCATGGCGACCCACACTTGGGGGAAAGCCATGCTTCTGATGAGCTCAGGAAACAATGTGAGAAGCTGTCCCTTTCCAAAACCTTCCTCAGTGGCCCCTCCGTCCAAGGAGTAGCTTAAAGGTCTTGGTAAACTGTGAGTGTGTGGGGATGGTAGTTATGTGTGGCCATGAGAATAACCATCTCCTCTGCTTGATACTTCAGTGAAGTTGATCGGTGACCAGGACAGCAGTCCTTTGAGCTCCGACAGAGTGGGCAATGGCCATTGCCATCTTACACAGAGTGAAGATAAATTGGCTCATGGAAGAGTGTCCTTGGGAGGGTGGGGACAAAAACTAATATGTAGTGACTCTCACTCTAAATCCCAAGGCTTTCGTAATACACTGTGCTTATTGACCACGATCGTAATGGATTTTGCCGAAGTTGTTGCTAAGCACATAAGGCCGTCTGTGAAAACAGCCGCACAGGTGACTATGCCTGGCTGCGGCAGTGCTGAGACGCCTGGGCTAGACTGCAACTGAGCTTTTTAGATGTTACCTTGGGATGACATTTTTGACCCTCACTGCAGAGCATATTTAATATCTATTTAAATGTTCAGTTTGCCCTAATCTTCCTGGCAGCGAATCATTTGTCTGATGGTTTCTTGCATAATAGGGGTCATGCTGACACCAGTCTGGGGCCATCCCTAGCCAATGGCACTTACTTGAGTGAGGGCCTCTAGACCCTGTCCTCTACCCTCCCTTCCCCCAACCCCCTGCCACTGCACCTCATGCTGTCTCCACTTGTCTATTTGCAGGCTTGCAAAGATTCTGTGAAGATATAGAAATGATGATTGGATTCCAGCCAAACATTTTCTGGAAAGTCTGCTGGGCGTTTGTAACTCCAACCATTTTAACGGTAAGGATTGCACGCTTTATCGTGTAGTTGGATCTCGCCTATGTATGTGGTGCTTTACGTTTGAACAAGGTGTATTATTCTTGCCTTCCAGAAGAGGAAACTGAGGTTCAGAGAGATCTAGTGGCCCACCTGAAGGTGCTTAGCGGTGACTCATGCAGTTTGGAGCAACCTTACAGAACATTTCCTCATGTACTGTTAGCAGATTACAGTCACATTTCCCGCATGCTATCCACGGTCCGGGCTCCGTTCAGAGAACTTTATGTGTGTCACCACATCTCTCCCTCACAGCAGCCTTGCGGGGCTAGCGTTGCAGTCGCCTCCATTTCACAGATGAGGAAGCTGACACCCAGAGGCTATGTGACTTACCTAGCACTGCACACCTAATAATTAGCAACCACCGCCTGGGTTCGAGCCCAGGCAAAAGGCTCCAGGACTCTTGCTCTTAACCACTACTCAGTAGAGCTGCTCTACAACCAAGATAGCATAAATTAGACCTTTATGGTTCACTTTTATTGTTTTTTGAGAACTATCTCATCATCCTCAAGTGTGACAATGACATTTTGAGATCATCTAACATTCATCTTTTTAAATATCAGAGCCCTTCATGTGTCAGTAAATCTGCATAGGGACTTGCATGCACATCCCGTCCCTTCCTTTATTGTGATACAGGCTGAAGGCTTTGCCTTAATTCACCCTCCAAGCACAGTAATTGACCGCGACCTTGTCTTTCCTCCGCTTCCCTGGCTTGTGATGGGTGTTATCAAAGCAAGGCGGCAGGAAGCTGGCTGTAGTTCTGGTTGCAGCCGGCAGGTGGCACTGGAAACCAGATTAAGACCGTTGTTTAACTTCAGCACCAGGTTCTCTAAAGGAAAACAAGACAGGATGAAGTAAAATTGTAAAGAAAATATGTATTTCCTTTTTTTTTTGATTTTTTATTTATTTAAAAAAAATTTTTTTAACATTTATTTATTTTTGAGACAGAGAGAGACAGAGCATGAACGGGGGGAGGGTCGAGGGAGACATTGGTGAATCAAACAGGCTCCAGGCTCTGAGCGTCAGGCACAGAACCCGCGGGCTTGAACTCACTCACGGATCGACCGTAACATGATTCTTGAGCTGAAGTCGGACGCTTAACCGACTGAGCCACCCAGGCGCCCCTCTTTTTTTTTTTTTTTTAACTGTCACAGAGTGAATTTTAATCAAAACACCTCAACTGATTTCTGAAAAGACATAAGTTTAGACAGAAAAACCATTCAGCATTTATCTCCCTCTGCACTGACATGAACACCATACTGAGAGGCCCACATCAGTGCTCACATTTTAGAGGCGATAATTTGTCAGAAAAGTCCCACTAGATCTGGGGCATGAGGGGTGAAAAGAATCAAAATGGATTTTCCAGTTTCTTGAGTTTAGGACTGAAATGTATATGAAGAGCTCAGATTTACCTAATTGGTGGGGGTGGGGGGGGACTTTGAAACTCTCCTGCCTGGGGGCATTCTCTGGCTCTCCTGAGCTTCACTGTTTCCCCCAGTCACCACCACATATGATTTATTCTTGGGTGAAATCAAGACCTGACTTTCCTTCCTGTCTTGGAAGAGATTAAGCTTCAGAGAATTTTATTATATTTTGCAGAAACGTATCACATAAACATAAGAACTGGCACCACCATTTGTGGAGGTCTGTTTGGAGGAAGGCACTTTGCCCCTAAAGCTTCCGACCACTCTGCTTAGTGGGTGATTCTTCCCCCCATTTTACAGTTATGTGAGCTGAGGCCCGGGGAGGCTAAGGAGCTTGACCAAGGCCACAAAGCTTTCAGGAGGCAGAGCTGAGACTTGAATCCAGGGCTTCTAGGCCTCAAGCCCACACTCTAATAAATTTCTAGAAACTCAGTGCTTTCACTTCCAAGTGGAGTTTGGCCAGTTTGGAATTAAAGTAATTCTAATCTCTGTGAGCAGAGAGTCAGGGAAAAGAAATTGCAGGGACTTGCTGTGTTTTTTGAGAAAGTTTCTCAACATGCTGTGCTTTCTTGATTTCAATTATGAAACTCCCATCAGAAACCTGTAGAGATCCCAGAAAAGCTCCTGATCCAGATTCCCCTTCTGTGTTTGGGAGCCATGGACAAGTAGAAGTGGTCCAAATCCATTGTCAACTGATGTACCTCTCTCCTTCCTTGGCTGCCATCAGCAAAATGTCAGGGTGGGCCTGACTCAGTGGTTAAATTATTATCTCTCATGGCCAGGCTTGTCTGAGGCAGGGTTTTATCAAAGTTGGCTTGGCAGAGGGAAATTTATGGCAAGAACAGGTGTGCGCACATAAGTTTGATGTGGAATTTGTGCAACTGGAAATGGGTACCAAAGGACCAAGCCTAACACTTATTTTTTGCCACTTGCCCTTCTGTAAAGCGAGTATTTGTGGTATGCTGGAATGAACTGAGATTATGGGTTTAAATTACTTAGAAACCTCTGAAATGAAATTGATCATTTTTATATGTGCCTTCTTGGATTTATAGAGCTATAAATATTCCCCATGCAATTATTGTATACATAGTCAGATCATGTTACTGAATTATGTGCACACATAAGCAGATGTATTGCTATTTATATAGTAAATGAAATGGAGTAACTTACCATAATTACATTAGGCCATACTTCCAATAGGCTGGTTAATAAAGTTTATAACTCTAGGGGCAAATGTTTAAAAAGGGGCCTAGAGTAAGGCATCTCTTTCCGTAGGAGCAGCGTTTTCGACAGCCGTCTTCAGGCTCATGTTGCTTCAGATCAATACATTGAATTATTGTTGCATTGAAATAATCACTTGGCCCAGCAGCCTGGGCTTTGCAGCAATAATATAGATATGCCTTACATTTGTATAGTGCTTCATGCTTTTCTAAAACACTTCCATATATCATCTTTGCTGACATAATTCCCTCCAATCATTTCTGGGCCATTATTTTACGGCTTAAGATAGAATGAGATGTGCGGGGCGGCAGGGTGGGGGGGGGGAAGGCAGGACTTATGTCATCATTATTAGGTACATTATTCTCGGCTGCTACTATATTGCCGCTATGAACATGGGCAAGAACATAGTTTCTCAGGTCAGTGCTCCCCAAAGGTGTGGCAAGAACAGTTAGAACCCCTGTTCTGTCTTTTCCAGTGCCTCTCTTTGTGTTCCCTTGTTCCCATGGGTGTTCCCTTGTTCCTTCTCAGCTGCTCTAAACTTGCTTTCAGAGGGTGCTCATTGCTCCTGCTGAAGTGTGCAGTGATGCAGATAATGGGCAGAAAATGACTCATCACCTCTCTTCAAATTGAGAGGGGACTTTTGAGTAAATATCAGACCATTGTTCCCAGAAAGCCCCTGTGTGTTGTGTACGCAGTGTGAAATATATCCATTTTGTAGCAGAAAAGTCTGAGACATGAGGGTCCCTCCTCTAGCTAGCAGTGGAACCGAGATCAGCCTGCTGGCCTCTTGGCTCTTGGCCCACTGTTGGGTGACACGGCCCGTTCATCTTGAGTCGGTTGAGAGTACGCCGTGCACCCACTCTGTGCCCCATGGTTTATTATAGGACTCAGCTTCAGGCTCAGTCACTGCTTGCCAACCACTCCTGGCCTCACTCTGCCAGCTTTAAAGGCAGCGCCTGGATACGGGCCATTCCCCATTCAAGGAGAAGTCAAGGTAGATTCAACTCATTTATTTATTTATTTTTGTTTTTATTTTTTAATGTTTATTCATTTTTGAGAGAAATTGAGGGAGAGAGAGAGAGAGCATGAGTGGGCTGTCAGCACAGAGCCTGACGAGGGCCTCGAACCCACAGAACATGAGATCATGACCTGAGCCGAAGTAGGACACTTAAACGACTGAGCCACCCAGGCACCCCATCAACTCATTTCTAAAAATATTAAAATACATACATTTAGGGGCACCTGGGTGGCTCAGTTGGTTAAGCATCCGACTTCGGCTCAGGTCATGATCTCACGGTTCGTGGGTTCAAGCCCCGTGTCGGGCTCTGTGCTGACGGCTCAGAGCCTGGAGCCTACTTCAGATTCTGTGTCTCCCTCATTCTCTGCTCCTCCCCCACTCAGGTTCTGTTTCTCTGTCTCTCAAAACTAAACATTAAAAAAAATTTTTTTAAATACATACATTGAATGGATTCTTTCTCACAACAAAAGCTTGATTATCCACTATAGAAAGTACAGACAACCCTTTAAATACGCCCAGCTCCACGCATCAGTCCCCTTGACGTATGGCCCTTACAGTGTCTTCACAGCCTGTGTGTGTGTGTGTGTACCCATACACGTTGCTCAGTTCTGGGAGATGGCAAATGCAGCTGGCCAAGTGTGTGTCATCTTCCTCCTGAAATTCAGTTTCTTCATTTGGAAAATGGATTATTAATAATACCTCTTTCAGGGTTGGTCTGGATATAACATGGGATCATAGATAGGAAAGCAGCAAACTGATGGCAGGGGCTCAATACCTGGCTCTTAGGAATGAACACTTCGCATCACCAGCCTAACACATGTGTTTCTCTTTTCTTCCTAGTTTATCCTTTGCTTCAGCTTTTACCAGTGGGAGCCCATGACCTATGGCTCTTATCGCTACCCTAACTGGTCCATGGTGCTCGGATGGCTGATGCTCGCCTGTTCGGTTATCTGGATTCCAATTATGTTTGTGATAAAAATGCATCTGGCCCCTGGCAGATTTATTGAGGTAATTCCATCAGCTCCTTTTCCTTGCCATCCCCTCCCGAGGGAGAAGTTCTCAGAGCTCCGTGCATTAAAAAACAACAGATTTGGTAAACTTATTCTCCAGGGAGACTTGGTGATTAAGTGATCACAGTTGCCACCGTTTCTATTAAACCCGTTTTTATTATGTATTATTCCTCTAATGGAGAGACTTAGCCGATCCGCAGGCCAAGCTGTTATGCTCTTCCTCAATGCCCTGGCAGCTCTGGGGAATAAGAGATCATGTCTCCTCTTTCCTGGAGTTCCCCTCCCCCTCTCCCCTTACCCACAGTTTACATCTGATATTTGGTTTTTAACCACACGTCAGATTCCCGCTTTCCTGATGTGCATCTCTGTCCAAGTCTTCTCCCTCCAAACATCTATTCCCATTACGTTTTAAATCACTACCCCTTGCTGTTGGACTGGTATTAGAATGGCTGAGGGGTCCAAGCTCATGAACATGTCACCATCCCCATACAATGTAATGAGAGGTCCGGGGCATGGCTGGTGTGAGGTGAGACCTGTCCTTGTTAATCCCTTGATGGATACTTCCTTCATTTCTAAAGAAAAAAAAAAAATCCCCACCCTGACTCCAGGGTGTCTGGGAACGCATTGCCACTTGTTCAGCCACCAGTGAAGTGTGGTCAGGCTTTTGTTACTTATGAGAAGTCTCTGGCTCAGGCGTGCTAGGGATAGATCAGCACTGCCTCTGTCTTGAAAATCCAGAGGTTGGACCTTTTGGACCAGACCGGTGCTCCTCAGGGTTTGGCCCCGGGACTGGCAGCATCAGCACCACCTGGGAGCTTGTTGGAAATGCAAATGAGCAGGCTCCAGCTGGCTCCACTGAACCAGAGGTGGGGAACGGGAACCAGCCCCCCCCACGCCCCCCACCCCCAGTCTGTAGTTTAACCAGCCCACCAGGTGATTCTGATGCACACTCAAGTTTCAGAGGCCTTGGGATAGACCAAGGCAAAGAAACACCTGCCAATAGAGGGCAGCGAAGAACAGGTGTATAGGCTTGGCTCTTGGTCAGATTGAGAAGAGGAAGAGAGGTCTCCGGAACATCCCACAGAGGGGGTGGCTTTTATTTTCAATGGACTGAAAATGGAGACAGAGTTGACAAAGGGAATGTAGGAGTCTCCTTACTGAAGCGATATTCCAGTTTGCATCCTCAGGAAATTGTCTGCTGTCCCCTTGAGGTAAATTACTGTGGGCCCCTTTACCCCCAGGGCTGTCTCCCTCTTGCCCCAGATGAACCTCCCACCAACTGACCCAGAAATCTCATTCCCTTTGAACAGAAGCTAGTGTAGCCTCTGCTACTTTTGTCTTAGGCCGAAATTCCCTAAACTGATGAGTTGGTTCTATAAATTTATTATGGTTGATTTGGGACACAAAGGTTGCAAACTGATGATTAAGGGGAGATTAAACTAACAGCTATAAGAAATAGCTTCACTTTAATAGGTAATAAACATATAATTGTTCCCCCTTATGGAGTCTGAAATATGTTTTCTTAACTTTTTTCTAGAAAATTTTCCCATCAAATTATGTTTTCTGTAAAAAGTTCAGTTGAAGGATCAGAGACAGTCCCATTATTTCTGGCTTGCCTACACTGCTGAACCGAGTCAGGAGCATATATTTTTTGTCAACAGATAATTAAAATCTTTGCTCACTCTTGGCAGTGTGTTTTTGGGGTTGTGTTTTTTTTCCCCGGCCATTTATATACTTTGGGGAAATATGCTAAACAAAATCCAATTATTTTGATGTAACAACCTACTGTTGGGACTATGGAACAAAAGTAACTGAGCGTGTGTCTTTTACAGACTGCGTCTGGCAGTGGAGAGAGAAGCTTGCGAATTCTCTTCATTTGGAAGGAAAAAATGTATAATTAAAATCTGGGTCCTTTATCCTCTGTTAATCTTGTGCAAGGCAAACTCTGAGCAATTGTTATATTGCTCGCAGGGCGATGTAAATAACTTCAAGGGAACCAAACTACGTCTCCTCTTTAACGTCCCTTGACCTCGTTAATTAAGAGGGCTATCTTCCTAACCGCTTCTCTTGGCCGGGGACCTCTTGGCTTAAGGAAGGTTCTGGCAAAAGTGGTGTCAAGCAGTTTGGGGATAGATGGGTGGTGCCTAGGGGAGGGGTGGCGTGTTACTTCTGTGACCCTGTGTGTCTTTGGCTTCTTTGCAGAGGCTGAAGTTGGTGTGCTCGCCACAGCCGGACTGGGGCCCGTTCTTAGCTCAGCACCGTGGGGAGCGTTACAAGAACATGATCGACCCTTTGGGAACCTCTTCCCTGGGACTCAAACTGCCAGTGAAGGATTTGGAACTGGGTACCCAGTGCTAGTCCAATGGCATGGGATGGCCCGGACTTGATCCTGTTTTTCCTCTCTGCCTCCCCTAAGGTTTTCCCCGGCTTTCTTCCCATTTTCTTCTCTCTCCTCACGTCTTGGTTCATGTCCATGCATGAGAATGGTTATATAGAAAAGTAGGACACGGTGTCGCATGCTGTAGTGAGGAGCTAGACAGACCACTCGAGGCGCTTTGCCTGTGTCCATGGCGTCAGTTTCCAGAGGGGTTGGAAGCTCAGGCTTTACCCGGCAGGAGTGGATCAGCTAGGTGAGTGGGCACTTTCCGGTGAAGTCACGAGTAGGTACGCAAGACCCAGTCGGGCGGGGGTATCCACTGTGTGTTGTCCTTGGTGGTGCCATGGAGGCTTATATAAAATGGCAGAATTACAAGACTGTTGTTTGGGCTCCATAGTGTTGCTAAGCTGAGCAATGTAGTGATTTCATTCAGATGCAGGAAGTTTAGGAGGGTATATTTAGATGGTCGGCAGGGGTCTGAAAATGGTTTAGGATAAGACAAACCAGTGGATGCGGACACCGCTGGGGTGTCCAATTGTAGATTTCCATTTACAATTGGGGATCTGTTTTCCCTCATTTGGGCCAACTGTCTCAAGTGTGCCAAGAACTCAGAGACTTGTCTCTGCGCACTGCGAATCTCAGTGGAGAGTTTTCTTCCTTCACTTGTCTTCTGCTTTTTCTTTTTTCTGAAGTAACTATATTTGTGAATTCTCTTCATCATTTCCTCCGCCTGTGCACAAGGAGCCATCCTGTAATTTGCCTCTGTATGGTCATAGCAGAGCTCCATTCTAGTTTCTACATGACATTTAACGCCGTGGTTCGGTGTCACAATCCCATGTTTCTTCTCAAAATGTCTTTCTATGAGCTGTAGATCCCTGGTCTTCCAACCTCGGGGAAAACAAGACTTACCCGTTTGTGTCTATATATTTTCTATATATAAGACATAACCTCCTACAAGACAGAACACTTCTCAATTTTTACTCTTTTTCATTCACAGTAAATGCCAACTGTGGTCATAGAGAAATCAAAGAAACGGAGAGTTTAGTTGAAAGCAACCATGATAGTCCATGTGCTGGTAGTACATTTTAGGTCACTGTATTTACAGAAATTTCTGGTAAATACAGCTTAGGTAAGTAGCAAGTGAGCCAATTAAGACTATAGCTTTTAAGACTACATTTAGCCGATTCAATTTTAAGACTTCCCAATTCACAATACTCTTAACTGTGCTCTAATGAGAGCGAATCATATGTCTGCAGAGATTGGCGAAGCCGTGACCTTTATTATCTTCTTGTATCCTGAACATGCATATATGAGATTTTTAAATGTGATATGTGTTCATGTAGTCTGTATGCGTAGTGGTGATTTCTGTCTTTATAAATATCTTAAGAACCACTGTAGAGATGGTGAGTTTAGAATAGTGTAGTCCGGATTTTTTTTTTCCTTACAGTAATAATATCTGAACCTAAAATTGTTTTCTTTAGGGGATACCATCTCAATCACTTTCTTACTTGTTTGTCGTCACATTACAGGGTCTCAGGCAAAGTTTTCAGTTCAAATCTTGTATATTGATGTGACATTTTCATCCCGTTCAACAGCAGTGAACCCTAACAAAAGACCTTAATGTAACATGTTTTTACTTTAAATGACTTCATTGGTTTAAAAAGAGGTCTCAACTCATTTTACCGAGCTCTTCTTTTTCTAGGGCAAATATCATTGTCATTTGCCAACACTGACGTGATTTTCCCGTTTTTGAGAACTGCCTGTGGAAACTTTAGAAAAGGAAACAGAGTCTACGGCCATACCACCCTGAACGCGCCCGATCTCGTCTGATCTCGGAAGCTAAGCAGGGTCGGGCCTGGTTAGTACTTGGATGGGAGAAAAGGAAACAGAGATGGGTTTTGAACTGTAGGTTTTCATCTCTTTTGTCTGCAGTGTCTGTTTGTTCTTCCCCTTTGTTTTCCTTTTCTGCCTATTTCCCAAAGCTAGAACTTACTAGAATCTATCACAGAGACTAAACTGAGCTTCCCCTAGACACAGTGTTAGGAACCTGAGCTGCAGCCTCAAATGCCCCCGTGTTTCCCATAGTGACTTGTCTGCCATGAACACTGGTCTCCCCAAGAAAGCCATACTGATGAGAGCCCCCCTTACTGTAGCAGATTTCACATAGTGGTACCAAAAATTAGCGTCTCCAGGTGATAACTGGTGGAGCTGGAGAGGCAGGGAGGAAAAACTTAGGTTTGGAAATTATCTCTAGCTTTTCCAATTTGAAGCCTGAAGAAAAGAGCTGAAATCAATTAGCATTCTCTCATGGGACTGGTGTGTTTGTGTCAGGGCGAATGATTTTGGCTTCCCTCTCTTGCCTCTTGGCTAAAACTGGAGTCCGATGCTGGATGCCAACCCCATTTCTGCTGATTATTGCTGTCGTGATTAAAAGAAGGGGTGGGGGGGTACCCGACGGCTGCTGCCAGGTTTGTCTCATATGAACTTGAACTGCAAGTTGTCTTGTGAGGGCAGGGGCCTCCTTGCTAGCTACATTCTGCTGTGAATGTTACAGTTGGAGGCAGCTACATTTGTGTTTATCCAGATTTGTCCAGGCTGAGACCCAGTAGCTAGCTGTTCCCTGAACAGCCAGAGTGTTTTTCCTTTCCCTACAATTGCCAATTTTCATGTAAAATTTGCTGAAAGGTGAAAGGTTCCGAACTTATCTGGAAACGGTGACTTTGTAAACTGCGTTTTTACCCATTTCTCTAGCCATGTTCAACTTTGAGGCTTTCCCTGGCAGACAGATGTTCAGCATCCAAGCTGATTCGTCATCATGTATCAACCTTTGCCACATTCCCCCCCCCCCCCACCACACACTTGGCTGGGATGCTAACCAGGTGGATGTTTCCATGCTATGTGTTTTCTTCCACAGTCAATTGGATGAGAAAAAAATGAATGAGTAAGAAGAAAATGAAGGGCATTGTCAAAAACGGCTCCTTGAGCATTCCCCTTCAAACTGAGTTAAAAACCAAGTTGCTGAGGAAAAATTTTCATTGGTTTTTACTGGGCAGAATGGTGAGGTATTTTCCACTTGTGAGATAATTTCCTAACACCGACAAATGCCAGAAATCCATTCAGAGAAAAACAAAAGCCATATGTTAAAAGCAGTAACCTTGTAATATCCTTAAAGGAGAAAAAAAATGTATATTTCTTAACTGTTGGTGTTGTGGCTTCTTATGCAAATATTTGTCTTGCGTATTAGTAACTTTTAGTCTCTTTAGGGCTGTGTGTTTGTCATGTACAGATGTGTCCAGCCTGGTTTTATTTTGTTTGTTTCTTTTATATTCATTTGTTGCATGAAAGTTGTGGTCAGTGCAAAATCTCGACCTCAACGTCTTTGAAAGTTCCCATGTGTTTTTAATGTGTAAGAAATGTAACTTGTACTTCAGTGAGCAGCACTTTAAAAATAATTTAATACAATGATCTTTAAATGGCTAAGACTTGGGTTGTCTTTACGCTAATATTGCATTAGAGTTGAGTTTTCCTTAACTAAGTCCTTATTTTGTTATCTACATGTGCCTCAGTGCTGCCTGACAACCTTCATCTGTCAGCATGGTCTTCCCATGCCTAAAATTTGAATTTTTCTTTCCTCTTTGTTCCCTTGGCCATCAGTCATCGTCCTCTTCCCAGAGACTTGCACAATAATGGTTGCTTAATGTGTGCTTGATGGCAACATCACACTGCTGCTGCCGTACCTGGATTTGGGTTTGTGACACTCGTCTTTGAGGCAGCTGACTCCAGTGGGAGCATGCTGTATGGCAGGTTGTCCTGCAGGCACTGAAGGCCAAGGCCAGCAAAGGAACATTTCCTCTGTTTCACACTGGGTGGGTGTCATGCACGAAACTTCCAGGCTGGGAGCAAAGGCTTGGGTGAGTTTAATCTCGATAGTAATTTCTCCACAAAGTGTCCCTGGGATTTCTAAAAGCAAAGCTCCCTATCATTCCCAGAGTTTGCTTCAACTGTACAGAAAGGCCAAGTAATTTTGAATTGTGGTCTTGGCTTGGATCACCTCTGAGCAGCCTGCAGCCAAAGAGAAAGTATTTTCAGATTGGGCATGAATCATCTCTGAGAGCAGAGGTTTGATTTGCCTGCCATGGATTAAATACATCTTCAGGTAACCATTTGCCTTATAGGTGTATTTTATTGTTAGGATGATACTTAGTAATTGACTAGGAACTGTTTTGTCTTTTTTTTTTTTTTTGCACTTTATTATGGACCTATCATGGAATAGGTTTATTCTGAAATTGTGTACTTGGCTAATGTCCTAAATGCAGGCATCGTATGTGGTACTGTTGCCTATTGAATAAAGATGTGTTCCCTAATCAGGTCCTTATATTTTTTCATTAACTGTACATGAAGAAAATATATTATGTTACAAATGATGCATCATATATATATCTTACAGAGTACATATTATATACTGTGCATTATTCATTTAAAAAGTCATTATTCTTGAGGCCCTACCTCAAATTTTGTATTTATGTCTACAAATGCAATTTATTGTATTATATATTTGCCTATTATGTACTAATATAAATTAGAATTTATCTTAATAATGTATGAGTTCACAAACCCTAAATAAATGTCAGTGTTTAAAACATGATGATAATAGTATTGTGTTTATTTCAAACCCATTACCCACATTTTTTTCTTTCTTAACAAATGGACTTCAGGTATCCCCAGGATTGATCTGTTTTATTGGGAGAAAGCTGGAACAGAAATGGAAAACTGCCCTCCCGGGAAAATGAGATATTGCGCCGCTGCAGAAACAAATATCAATTAAATTGTTATATTCTTAATCATCAGAACACACTATTGTTTGCTGAATTATTAATTATCCCTCATAGGGAAGGAGAGGGAGGGAGCGAGAGAATCTGAGTGCATCTGAACACAGGGACTGGGCGAGTTAAATCCTTGGGTGTATTTGAATGACCACTTT